GTTAGTTATTTTGTATTTACAAATTAAAATATACATATACTGTCTAAACATATAAGGAAATAACGCGGATGTCCCAGATTATGGGCCGCAAAGCACACATGACCCCATGATGATTGACAGGCAGGGTGGCTGGAATAATCCACCCAGAGACTAAACAAAAATGGACTAACCAGCACACACCAAGCCAACACGGGCTAATATACAAGCTGATGAGTTAAACAAGATGTATGGTACTAGGATTTATTTGTCTGCAAGCGCTAAGATGATCACTTATGCATCATGGGAACGCAGTAGGGGACTTAAGTTAATATGTGCAGTTAGGAGATGTATGTAATGTTCAGCTCACAAGCTTGTGGCCCATTACGTAATCCAATGCGGCGGTCAGCCATTCCGTCATAAGTGGAGCACCGATACTAAGAGGCGCATCACAGTTCAGTCAGCCTTCTCACAGTCCCATGTTGGTTTATGGTCACATGTAACGGCATACGATATTTGCATTTTACTTTTGAGTTTGAGGTTATGTGTTTAACACAAACAAACGACACATAGGGTGAACCACTCTGCCTAACTCACCACCCCTAACACTAACCAGCACAGTAAGCACAGAGGGGAAATATGCTGGGGCGGGAATACCTCGCCACTGGGGGGTGGGTGGGGAGGAGGAGGTGCACACGCTCACACTCCGCGGGGGGTCTTTGTCGTCTCGGATTGGGCCCCTCATCGGAGATATAACTAAAAACACCCTTGTTACACTCTACCCCATACCCTAATCCTCAGGAGAGACCTATGTCTACAGACACGCACGACTACCTCACCAGAAAATGCAGCTACACATAAGACAGCAAATACACCCTTGAAATGAAGGGTACTTTGACCCAGCACTCCACACCCCAACCATGTCTATAACAATACATTCCCACAACAGGCGAGGGCTGAACCACCTTCACAAAAGACGCATCCTTCTAGAAGCAGCAAAACGAGAATTAGATATCCTTTGCGTCCAAGAAACGCATTTTGCCATCAACAGAATTCCCAAATTTGGCCTACATGACTACCCAACCTAATACCATGCTACCCATTCCTCTAAATCAAAGGGAGTATCATTCTGAATACACAGCTCGCTGACTTTCGAACTACTTAGCATTCAAAAAGACACACAAGGGAGGCACATTATATTGCACAATCAATGATCTAGAATACGTTCTCGCAGGCATATACAGTCCAAATATGAACCAGAGACTGTTTTTGCAAAAAATCTTGCACAAGCTTCCCAAAACAACATTGGGAGCCATCATCATATGTGGTGACCTAAACCATGTACTGGATTCACGCATG